GCTCCTAATCTCAGTTTGTTACCTGTTTAAAAGACACCTGTCCACAGAAGCAATCAATCAATCAGATTCCAAACTCTCCAACATGGCCAAGACCAAAGACCTCTCCAAGGATGTCAGGGACAAGATTGTAGACCTACACAAGGCTGGAATGGGCTACAAGACCATCACCAAGCAGCTTGGTGAGAAGGTGACAACAGTTGGTGCGATTATTCGCAAATGGAAGAAACACAACAGAACTGTCAATCTCCCTCGGCCTGGGGCTCCATGCAAGATCTCACCTCATGGAGTTGCAATGATCATGAGAACGGTGAAGAATCAGCCCAGAACTACATGCGAGGATCTTGTCAATGATCTCAAGGCAGCTGGGACCATAGTCACCAAGAAAACAATTGGTAACACACTACACCGTGAAGGACTGAAATCCTGCAGCGCCCACAAGGTCCCCCTGCTCAAGAAAGCACATATACAGTGGGGGAAAAAAGTATTTAGTCAGCCACCAATTGTGCAAGTTCTCCCACTTAAAAAGATGAGAGAGGCCTGTAATTTTCATCATAGGTACACGTCAACTATGACAGACAAATTGAGAAAAGAAAATCCAGAAAATCACATTGTAGGATTTTTTATGAATTTATTTGCAAATTATAGTGGAAAATAAGAATTTGGTCAATAACAAAAGTTTCTCAATACTTTGTTATATACCCTTTGTTGGCAATGACACAGGTCAAACGTTTTCTGTAAGTCTTCACAAGGTTTTCACACACTGTTGCTGGTATTTTGGCCCATTCCTCCATGCAGATCTCCTCTAGAGCAGTGATGTTTTGGGGCTGTCGCTGGGCAACACAGACTTTCAACTCCCTCCAAAGATTTTCTATGGGGTTGAGATCTGGAAACTGGCTAGGCCACTCCAGGACCTTGAAATGATTCTTACGAAGCCACTCCTTTGTTGCCCGGGCGGTGTGTTTGGGATCATTGTCATGCTGAAAGACCCAGCCACGTTTCATCTTCAATGCCCTTGCTGATGGAAGGAGGTTTTCACTCAAAATCTCACGATACATGGCCCCATTCATTCTTTCCTTTACACGGATCAGTCGTCCTGGTCCCTTTACAGCCCCAAAGCATGATGTTTCCACCTCCATGCTTCACAGTAGGTATGGTGTTCTTTGGATGCAACTCAGCATTCTTTGTCCTCCAAACACGACGAGTTGAGTTTTTACCAAAAAGTTATATTTTGGTTTCATCTGACCATATGACATTCTCCCAATCCTCTTCTGGATCATCCAAATGCACTCTAGTAAACTTCAGACGGGCCTGGACATGTACTGGCTTAAGCAGGGGGACACGTCTGGCACTGCAGGATTTGAGTCCCTGGCGTAGTGTGTTACTGATGGTAGGCTTTGTTACTTTGGTCCCAGCTCTCTGCAGGTCATTCACTAGGTCCCCCCGTGTGGTTCTGGGATTTTTGCTCACCGTTCTTGTGATCATTTTGACCCCACGGGGTGAGATCTTGCGTGGAGCCCCAGATCGAGGGAGATTATCAGTGGTCTTGTATGTCTTCCATTTCCTAATAATTGCTCCCACAGTTGATTTCTTCAAACCAAGCTGCTTACCTATTGCAGATTCAGTCTTCCCAGCCTGGTGCAGGTCTACAATTTTGTTTCTGGTGTCCTTTGACAGCTCTTTGGTCTTGGCCATAGTGGAGTTTGGAGTGTGACTGTTTGAGGTTGTGGACAGGTGTCTTTTATACTGATAACAAGTTCAAACAGGTGCCATTAATACAGGTAACGAGTGGAGGACAGAGGAGCCTCTTAAAGAAGAAGTTACAGGTCTGTGAGAGCCAGAGATCTTGCTTGTTTGTAGATGACCAAATACTTATTTTCCACCATAATTTGCAAATAAATTCATTAAAAATCCTACAATGTGATTTTCAGGATTTTTTTTTCTCAATTTTTCTCTCTCATCTTTTTAAGTGGGAGAACTTGCACAATTTGTGGCTGACTAAATACTTTTTTCCACCACTGTATATGGGGCTTTGGTGACAAAACGGATGGCACTGTGATAGACTACATCCAATTTGCTGAGTAGAGTGTTGGAGGATATTTTGTAAATGACATCGCCGAAGTCAAGGATTGGTAGGATAGTCAGTTTTACGAGTGCATGTTTGGCAGCATGAGTGAAGGAGGCTTTGTTGCGAAATAGGAAGCCGATTCTAGATTTAACTTTGGATTGGAGATGCTTAATGTGAGTCTGGAAGGAGAGTTTACAGTCTAACCAGACACCTAGGTATTTGTAGTTGTCCACATACTCTAGGTCAGACCCGTCGAGAGTAGTGATTCTAGTCGGGTGGGCGGGTGCCAGCAGCGTTCGATTGAAGAGCATGCATTTAGTTTTACAAGTGTTTTAAGAGCAGTTGGAGGCAACGGAAGGAGTGTTGTATGGCATTGAAGCTCATTTGGAGGTTTGTTAACACAGTGTCCAATGAAGGGCCAGATGTATACAAAATGGTGTTGTCTGCGTAGAGGTAGATCTGAGAGTCACCAGCAGCAAGAGCGACATCATTGATATACACAGAGAAAAGAGTCGGCCCAAGAATTGAACCCTGTGGCACCCCCATAGAGACTGTCATAGGTCCAGACAACAGGCCCTCCGATTTGACACATTGAACTCTATCTGAGAAGTAGTTGGTGAACCAGGCGAGCTAGTCATTTGAGAAACCAAGGCTATTTAGTCTGGCAATAAGAATGCGGTGGTTGACAGAGTCGAAAGCCTTGGCCAGGTCGATGAAGACGGCTGCACAGTACTGTCTGTTATTGATCGCGGTTATAATATCGTTTAGGACCTTGAGCGTGGTTGAGGTGCACCCATGACCAGCTCGGAAACCGGATTGCATTGCGGAGAAGGTACGGTGGGATTCGAAATGGTCGGTGATCTGTTTGTTAACTTGGCTTTCAAAAACTTTTGAAGGGCAGGATGGATATAGGTCTGTAACAGTTTGGATCTAGAGTGTCACCACCTTTGAAGAGGGGGATGACCGCGGCAGCTTTCCAATCTCTGGGGAACTCAGATGTTACGAAAGAGAGGTTAAACAGGCTAGTAATAGGGGTTGCGACAATTTCGGCAGCTAGTTTTAGAAAGAAATGGTCCAGATTGTCTAGCCCAGATGATTTGTAGGGGTCCAGATTTTGCAGCTCTTTCAGATCTGAATTTGTGTGAAGGAGAAGCGGGGGGGGGCATGGGCAAATTGCAGCGGAGGGTGCAGAGCTGGTGGCCGGGGTAGTGGTAGCCAGGTGGAAAGCATGGCCAGCCGTAGCAAAATGCTTGTTGAAATTCTCGATTATTGTAGATTTATCGGTGGTGATAGTGTTTCCTAGCCTCAGTGCAGTGGGCAGCTGGGAGGAGGTGCTCTTATTCTCCATGGACTTTACAGTGTCCCAAAACGTTTTGGAGTTAGTGCTACAGAATGCACTTTTCTGTTTGAAAAAGCTACCCTTTGCTTTCCTAACTGCTTGTGTATATTGGTTCCTTAACTTCCCTGAAAAGTTGCATATCGCGGGGGCTATTTGATGCTAATGCAGTACGCCACAGGATGTTTTTGTGCTGGTCAAGGGCAGTGAAGTCTGAGGAGAACCAGGGGCTATATCTGTTCTTAGTTCTGTATTTTTTGAATGGGGCATGTTTATTTAAGATTGAGAGGAAATTACTTTTAAAGAACAACCAGGCATCCTCTACTGACGGAATGAGATCGATATCCATCTTGCTTTTGAGATGTGCCTTTTGTTAAGTAAATCAGGTGATAAATGAGCTGAAAATGAGACTGGAGTAGGAACTGGAGAGGTTCGTTTCTGGAGGACATGATGACTTACATGCTGACTCTGGGTGGGGCTAAGGTGCGTGGGTGGGGTGGGGCTAAAGTGAACAATGCTGAATAGGCGTAAACAAAGAAGAGGCTTTCAAAGGCTTTTCTGCTACTTGTCTCCTAGTGGGTTTACAATTTTATCAACTTTCAAAGCAGCATAACTTTCCCATGTTTCCTACAACCACAGTGTATATACCATTTTGAAGCTCTGACAAAGATGGTGGATAAATGAAGATAGTTCACTCAGGCTGATTACCATTGAAAAAATTATCAATTCTGGTCTACTTAACTGGGTGTGTCACGATATGTACCAGTGTAATAGCAGCTGAGTCTGGTCTACTTAGTTAATAAATTTTCATTGAACTAGAAAAAAAAGATAAATCCAGCGAGTGGGAAATCTTGTTTCCTCTTCCATCTCTGTCTCTGAGTCTCCTCCTTCTCCTCCTCTGGCAGTACTGGTTCGAAGTGCACAAAACAGTTGTTAATTAAAGCAAGGAAATAAGAAATTTCAGCCATAAAGCATAATAAAGTTTGCAGACACAGCAGTCATAAGAGCCAAACCAGTAGGTCAGATGAGCGCTGATTCAGAGAAGGAATAGAGTGAGTAAGCAATCAAATTGAGCATTTGAAAGAAAACCCTTTCTTGGCCTGATTCCAATACATAATGGCATCTTTCACTGCCATTAAATGGACAAAATTACTTTTGAAGGAAAGAGGGAGGGAGGAAAGTAATGTGGAGCACCTGTAAGTCGCTTTGGGTAAAAGTGTTAGCTAAATGGCATATTATATTTATATATTAGGAAAGGAAGGATGCGTAGAGTATGTATTTTCACAGTTCCTTTGACTCATAACCAACAAGCTCCTTATCTGTCTATTGTTTACTGGCCATTGTCTATGATCATGTGTTGCGCTGTTGGTAAGAAAGTGGTGCTTGCTATTCCAAGGTTTTGGGTTCAATTCCCGCAGGTGTCACATACACATAAAAACATGTATGCACTCACTGTACTGCAATTCGCTTGAAATAAAGGCGTCTGCTGGCATATTATTGTGTCAAACATTTCTCGCTTGCTTTCTCTCCCTTTCTCTCACTCTCCCCCTTCCCTCCCCACATCTCTCCCTCCTCTTCTCTTTCTCCTCTCTCCCAGGGGCGTGGATTGTGACAGGGGGGCTGAGGGAGGGGGTGGGCCGTTGTGTTGGGGAGGCAGTGAGGGATCATGTGGCGGCGGCCTCCTCCCTGTCCCAGAAGAAAGTGATCGCTGTGGGTGTGGCCCCCTGGGGCCTCGTGCACAACAGACAGTGTCTCGTCAACGCTGAGGTACACACCCACATAGGGTGCACGCGCTGACACACAAACACACACACAAATGCACGAATGCACGCACACAAGGTGTGACCACACACACATACACACACACGCACACACACACACACTGTTCAATATAATTAAACATGCACAGACACATACACACATATAGTAGCTCCCCTCTGCTTCTCACCCTCTCTCACTCAGCAAAGCAAAACCACAGGAATTCAAATTAATAATAATAATAAGGTAATTGTATTACACAAGGGATGGTAATCATAATGCTCTCTCTCTCTCTCTCTCTCTCGGTCTCTCTCTCTCGGTCTCTCTCTACCCTCCTTTCACTTCCCCGATCTCACTCTCCCCCTCTGCCTTTACCCTTCTCTACCCCTGCTCTCTCGCTCTCTCGCTCTCTCTTCCTCCCTCAGGGTAGTTTTCCAGCACGGTATTATGTCCAGAACACGTCCCATGATTCGTGCTCCCTGGATAGTAACTACCAGGCCTTCCTGCTGGTGGATGATGGGAGTGTAGGCCGGCGGGGAGGGGAGATGGCCTTCAGGGCCAAGATGGAGGACTACATCTCCCACCAACGCACAGGCATCTGGGGTGAGACTCAGTAGACACATAGGTTACATACGCGCATGCACGCATACATGTGCATAGACACACACACACACACACACACACACACACACACTTGTAAGACAAGCCCCCAGGTGTACAGGTGATGTGCAGTATGTTTAAGCCACCCATTTAAGGTGTACTATGTTCAGATCAACAATATTACTTTTCTTATCAGCAATCATGTTTCCAGTTCACACATTTCAGCATGAAAGTGTGAAGTTAAGCCGTAATGAGTATTACAGGGGACCACTGAACGGTAACTCCTTGCTTGCGGTTGGAAAATGCGACTAGATGTAATTCAATCAGTAGAACCACAATAATGTTGATAGCTAGATGCTATAAAGCCCATATCCTATTGCCACGTATTTACAAAACTTGTATTGCTTATATTTGGTGGGTTATTTATATATTTCAGGAAGAAAGACTAACAAGTTCATCCAAAGTTGAACTCATCTGGCAAACAACCCATTGGAGTTTCTATTGGAGTTTCTATAGTTTCTATTGACATCATGACTACACAAGGCAATCTCCTCCTCTCTTTTGTGTAGTGTTCCATTTTTGTATTTGTATTTTATAAGGAAATACATTTAACTCACCGTTCCAAACCCATGATGCTTGTGGAAAAATACATATTCTTATAAATATTTGTATGAGTAGTAAATCATGAAACATTCACACATTGACATAAATATGATGGACATTCACTATGACATCTGATCAATGATTCATGACAAAAAACTTAACAATAATTTGATACATTCTCATTCTCCCCACACCCACACCCCTTCCCTGTACCTTTTGTTTTCCAGGTAGTGGCAGTATAGATGTCCCTGTATTGTGTATGCTCATCTCAGGGGAAGCTGCCATGCTGGAGGTAAGCTATGGCAACATCACTATCATCACTTTGACTTACTTTAATTTTCATGACCTCTCTACTGTCTCTCTCTCTCTTCTCTTTCTTTCTTTCGCTCTCTCTCTCTCTTTTCTGGTTCTCTCTCATACCTCTCTCCCTCAGAGGGTGGATCTCTCACTGAAGAAGGCTACTCCCTGGCTGGTGTTGAATGGTTCTGGTCCAGCGGCGGACCTTATCTGTGAGCTGCTGGATGCCCTGTCAGCCATGCCCATGAGCCCCACCTCTCCCCTGCAGGAGGGTGAGGGGAGCGAGAAGCCCAGTGCGGAGCTGCGTGACAGGGCCCGTGAGAGGGTCCGGAGATACTTCCCTGCCAAGGCAGACCTGGAGAAGCTTGTGGACAGGGTGAGTGAGTGTGGGTGTTTTTATTTTATTTGTCACGTGCACAGTTTACAGCAGGTATAAAAGGTACAGTGAAATGCTTGTTCGCTAGCTCCCACAACATTGCAGTACAATAATCAATAATAAGAAGTAAAAAAAAAAAAAAGTAATAGAAGAGGTAGTATGCATAGTAATGTTTGTGTGTGTGTATATTTAAGCAATAAAGCCCAAGGGGGTGTGGTATATGGCCAATAAACCACAGCTAAGGGATGTTCTTATGCACGACGCAACGCAGAGTGCCTGGAAACAGCCCTTAGCCGTGGTATATTGGCCATATACCACAAACCCCGAGGTGCCTTATTGCTATTATAAACTGGTTACCAACATAATTAGAGCAGTACAAATAAATGTTTTGTCATACCCATGGTATACGGTCTGATATACCACGGCTTTCAGCCAATCAGCATTCAGGGCTCGAACCGCCCAGTTTATAAAAAGTGTGTACGTGTACAAGCATCCACGCGTCTGTATATGGGTGTTGGTGTGTGAAAGTGAGTTCGAGTGAGTAAGCGAGTAAGTGTCCCGTGTGGCTCAGTTGGTAGAGCATGGCACTTGCAACGCCAGGGTTGTGGGTTCGATTCCCACGGGGGACCAGTACGAATGAAAATGTATGCACTCACTACTCTAAGTCGCTCTGGATAAGAGCGTCTGGTAAATGTAATATAAATGTAAGTGACTATCATACTGCTCATCTCTTTATTTTCTCTCCCTCCCCCATCTGTCCCCCCCCCCCCCCCACCCACCCACCCAAAGGCTCTGAGTATCTATAAAAACAGAGATCTGATCACAGTGTTCCACGGGGAGCAGGAGAGTCCTGATGATTTTGACACGGTGCTACTGAAGGCTCTCGTCAGAGGTAGGTGCGTGTATGCATGTGTGAGTGTGTGTGGTGTGTGTGTGTTTGCTATCTATTGACAGATATGTTGAACCTGATCCTGGTCAAACTACTCATTCGCTCTATGTATTTTTCTGTCAGCTAGTAAACGTGTGTCAAGTGATGCCAGTGAGTACACAGAGGAGCTGAAGCTAGCAGTAGCCTGGAACAGGGTGGACATCGCTAAGAGTGAACTCTTCAACGGAGACATCCAATGGAGGGTGAGCTGCTCCTCACGATCACCACTATCACCACTGTTAAACAGCATTTATTTTCTTTGATGTTATTTAGCTGACAAGGTATTTATTATATTCAAAACAGGCAGGTAGAACAGACCGACAGGCAGACTATCTTTCCGCTTCACAAATTGGAAATTGAACAATATAGAGAGGCTAGGGCGGTGGAGAAGGGAAGTTGGAAATCGATTCAATTCGTGAAGCGTTCCTTAATTTTCTCAATAGTATTGTTTCAACTTTGACAGACATATAGATTTACTGATCGATAGACATGTTTATAAAAACACCCTCCTATCCTCCCATAGTACGAGGACCTGGAGGACTCCATGACGGATGCGCTGATCAACGACAAGCCCCAGTTCATACGTCTCTTCAACGAGAACGGCCTCAACATCCTGGACTACCTAACTTACAGGCATCTGGAGGTCCTGTACCGCTCGCTGTCCGACAGTTCTCTGGCCTACACGCTGCTCCAGCGGCTTCTCACAGAGAGGCAGGGCCTGGCCGGATACCTGCCTACTGCTGCCTGCTCTCCGAAAGAGGCCTTAGCCCTCAAGAGCCCCCAGAGCCCCATGAGCCCCCTATCAGGACCCTCCTCTGCCAAAGAGCTCAGCTTGTATGAGGTGAGGAGGGTTTAGGGCTGTTGCGGTGACTGTATTACCGCCACACCGGCGGTCACGAGTCATTAAGGCAGTCAAATTCCACGTGACCGTTTAGTCACGGTAATTAGGCTTCTCCAAGCTCTGATGCTGCTGATGGTCATTAGCAGCCTACCAAACTGGCTAACTACCTGGTACTCAGCACTCTATTGTCCCTCTAATCACTCTGACGTCAATGCAAATGTGATCGAAAAAGGCAAGAAACAATGCCTTTTTTTGCGACTTTTCAAATCATAGTCGCACACCTCATGTAGCCTAGCCCATAGGCCTATATGTGGCCAAATAACTTCTTAAAATTAAGCACATTAATCCACTTTACAAGGGGTGTAGAGCCTAACTGGCATACATAAGCAGCACGTGAGTTTCAAGTTTGGGGAAGATCATTTTCACCATACAAATGCACCTTTTATAATAAAAGCAAACATGCATAATCACTTTTGATAATGGTTTCCCGCTAATGGAACATTCGCGCTTATAGCCTACTGCAGTGTGCGCATTGCTGCGCTTATAATGTGAAGAAATAGCCTGATAGTTTATCACATTTTAAGCTAAACGTTCTGATCTGTTGCGTCAGCCTCATTGCGTTAATCAAGTTGTTTTAATTCTAGAGGTTGTATTGATTTGGTTCTATCACATCCCACAACTGTCCCAGTCTATGTTTGGAATATTTATTTCTCGCACAGAATAGAATAGGTCGACTTTTGTACTATCGGGGATAGTAGATTGACATAGGCTAGTGCTTATGCTGTTCGTTAGGCCTTGTTGGATGACGAAAAGTAAATGTGGACAGTTTTTCTAATATCTTCAATATGCACCTCGGAATTGGATAAGGACGCGCGCAGTTGCATCCCCGAAGTGTCTGTCTTCACTTGTAGCCTGTGAGAAAGACCCGATCACGTGATGAAGAGCCATGTGGGTGAGAGGTGCTTCGGAGCACGCAGCACTCAGGGAGAAGGGAACAACGACCACTGGCCGCAAAAGGCATGGATTGTTTTAGGGTGCATTACTGCCATACAAAGGGGATGCAGCTGGGAAATTTGAGGCATTATCAAGTGGTTGTCAAAGTGTGTACAGCCTGCGCAAAAAACAAAGCAGAGCTCATGCCTTTTCAAGTGACTTTTTTCAAATCATCATTAGAGTCCCATCATGCAGCCTTAGAATGTATTACAAATCAAAACAACGTTTGTAGAACAACTAAAGTTACATTACTAACTCTAAATTAAGCATATAGGAGTACCTACAGTACCAGTCAAAAGTTTGGACACACCTACTCATTCAAGGGTTTTTCTTTATTTTTACTATTTTCTACATTGTAGAATGATAGTGAAGACATCAAAACTATGAAATAACACATATGGAATCATGTAGTAACCAAAAAAGTGTTAAACAAATCAAAATATATTTTATATTTGAGATTCTTCAAATAGCCACCCTTTGCCTTGATGACAGCTTTGCACACTCTTGTCATTGACTCGTAGTGTATTTCTTAATGTATGCACTCACTAACTGTAAGTCGCTCTGGATAAGAGCGTCTGCTAAATGACTAAAATGTCAATGTAAATGTTAACCGCTCAACACAGAATAGCCTCAGGTGTGCACTCCCTCAAATCCTTTGGAGAAAATATTATTTATATTTTATTCAGCTTTGTTCACTTGTATTCTTCATACAAATTTTTTTTATAAAATAATGCCATGGAATTCTAACCAAATCTTGTCTGCTAAATGAACTAGTGTAGCCCACAGCCATATGGCATAGCCAGATCAGGACCTAACATAAGTACAACTCAGAGTAAGCAATTCTGTTCTTCTGAAATAGACATTTTCTTACATTTACATTTTGCAGACGCTCTTATCCAGAGCGACTTACAGGAGCAATTAGGGTTAAGTGCCTTGCTTAAGGGCACATCGACAGATTTTTCACCTAGTCGGTTCGGGGATTAGAACCAGCGACCTTTCGGTTACTGGCACAACGCTCTTACCCACTAAGCTACCTGCCGACCCTTCTTCATATCATGTTTCTTTAGACCTGTCTAAAATAAATAATGGATTTATTGTGGAGGTGTAGCCTATATTAAATGGATTTATTATACTTTTTTAAATGTAGATGTTCCAAAGGTCAGCATCGGTGGCTTGTAGGCTATGTGTGGAAGCCAGGAGATGCTAAATGTGTTTGTTAATTAACGGTCAATTACCGTGAGACCGACAGTTATTTGCTTGACAATCACCGGCTGACAAAATTTTGTGACCGCCACAGCCCTAGGAGGGATTGCACTTTATTTTATGGTACAGAAATGACTAGGTATTTATTGAGAAATTATAAAATCAATTGATTGGTCAATTGATAAAATAGGAGGGGTCAAAGGGAAGGTATGGCGTAATTCGCTGTGCGTGGAGTTGTAACTCAGTTGATCGAATGTAGGTGTTTTGTTTGATAATCTGCTTTAACTATTTAATCATCTCAGTTCTATGTGACTTCCTCTCGCCTCTCGCTCAAGGTGTCACGGCTTCTATGGGACATCCTGGGAGATGTGTGTGAGCCCTTCTACTACAGCCTTCTGGGTTTGGACCAGAGCACCAGCACCAGGAGAGCAATGAAGGTAGTGGCTACCATAGCTGCACTCTTTCCACTATACCCCTCAAACTCAACTCTGGACCTTGAAGCTAGTTCCACTGCTTTTTAAATAAATGGTTCCCCTCTAATCAGGGACTGATTTAGACCTGGTGCAATTAATTATCAGGTAGAACCATTTTCTATTGGTAGAACAGAAAACCAACAGGCTCCGGACCTCGTAGGGTAAGCGTTGAATACCCCAACCCTATACACTTAGAAAAAAAGGTGCTAAGTAGAACCATATAGGGTTCTTCGGCTTGTCTCCATAAGGGAACACTTTTTGGTGCAAAGGTAGAACCCTCTATGAAGGGTTATTCCTAGAACTTATAAATGGTTCTACCGAGAACAGCGGTCGTCAGTTTCACCGTGTTTGCCTCCGAGACATTGGGGCGGCTGACATCCGGGTTAGCGAGCGTTGCGTATAAGAAGCAGCACTGCTTGGCAGAGCATGTCCTGATACTACCGAGCCATTGGGGAGTTGCCGCAATGAAACAAGGTCGTAAAGACACAATTGGATAGCACCAAATTGGGGAGAAAATGGGGTAAAATTGGATAAACAAATGTAAAAAATAAATTAAACTCTTTATGACAAGATATTGCATATATCATAAGACCTTTCTTTGATGGCCTAGTTATACCCTAATAAAGTGGTCTGAAGCTCCTGGTTTACAAGTCACATTATGCTGGCTTGCAAAGTGATGTGTAATTCTTATTGGAATTCAGCCAGAGCGAGGATATCCAGCAACTGGAATCACCCGCAACCTGCATTTAGGATGACTGCCATGGTAGGGAAGAATAATCAATGAGACTACCTAAATCATCTAAACTGGAACAGCCATCTCAGTAACAGGTGCAATAAGTCTTAACTACTAACAGATTGGACTAGTTTAGAAAAATGTGTGTTATTTATATTTGTGTAGCATAAGATTAACCAAGCAATCAATGGACATGCAAAAACACAGATACTGAAACAAACAATTCTGAAAATCAACCTGCCAAAGAGCGTGCTGGGAAATATGATAATGATGGTACTGGTTTTGAGTGTTTTACTCTACACAGAGTAAAAATGACACAATCACACTCAACTCTGGTTATTGACACCAATACTGGGGTTCTTTTACACCACTAAGTGTTAAGCTAATTTAACTCCTAAATCAACACAAGAAATGTTCAGGGGAGTTTCCAGGATTTGTTTTAATGGGAGCCAAGGGGGGACCAAGAACCACACAAAATTGGCTTAAAGTACGATGCATTGTATTGAGCAACTGTTTCAACTGTTAGTTTGTCCCTAATCTATTGGCATTAAATAATGATCAACCTTTGAAGGCAGCATTAATTATGAGATTTGTATCACTAATCTGATTCTGACATGGTTCGATTGGTGATAGCAATTAGGTGGGAACCTGGAAACCAAAACAATCACCTTTATAATAAAGCATAGCATGCATTTATCGCCTTTTATAAAACAATTTAATCAAAGTGTAATGGTCGCATACACGTTTAGCAGATATTATAGCGGGTGCAGTGAAATGCTCCTCAACAATGCAGTAAAATGTCACAATTTAAAATAAATAAATATCAGAACAAATACAAATTACAATACAAATAACACTAACAATAATCCAAGTTGGGAGGATGTGGCGTGTAGAGGCAGGCCGGGTGGACGTCATGGGGGTGGTCGGGGAGGTTGAGGGTGGAGGAGGTTCAGGAGTGGAGGCAGGCAGGCAAGGTAGAATTGTTGTGGAATTGGCTGTGTCCATAAAATGTGTGTAGTGTGTGTGGGCTGGAGGTGGAGGCCTGGGCGTTGTTGTTCACTGGTTTGCTCCAATTGGGGAAGGGGTAGTGGGGGTTGAAGGGTAGGAAAGGGAAATATATCCTATATAAAAAGGATATGTATATGTATTTATATGTATGTGTATGTGTGTATGTATGTGTATGTATGTACAGTGAGGGAAAAAAGTATTTGATCCCCTGCTGATTTTGTACGTTTGCCCACTGACAAAGAAATGATCAGTCTATAATTTTAATGGTAGGTTTATTTGAACAGTGAGAGACAGAATAACAACAACAAAAATCCTGAAAAAAAAACGCATGTCAAAAATGTTATAAATTGATTTGCATTTTTATGAGGGAAATAAGTATTTGACCCCTCTGCAAAACATGACTTAGTACTTGGTGGCAAAACCTTTGTTGGCAATCACAGAGGTCAGACGTTTCTTGTAGTTGGCCACCAGGTGTGCACACATCTCAGGAGGGATTTTGTCCCACACCTCTTTGCAGATCTTCTCCAAGTCGTTAAGGTTTCGAGGCTGACGTTTGGCAACTCGAACCTTCAGCTGCCTCCACAGATTTTCTATGGGATTAAGGTCTGGAGACTGGGTAGGCCACTCCAGGACCTTAATGTGCTTCTTCTTGAGCCACTCCTTTGTTGCCTTGGCCGTGTGTTTTGGGTCATTGTCATGCTGGAATACCCATCCACGACCCATTTTCAATGCCCTGGCTGAGGGAAGGAGGTTCTCACCCAAGATTTGACGGTACATGGCCCTGTCCATCGTCCCTTTGATGCCGTGAAGTTGTCCTGTCCCCTTAGCAGAAAAACACGCCCAAAGCATAATGTTTCCACCTCCATGTTTGACGGTGGGGATGGTGTTCTTGGGGTCATAGGCAGCATTCCTCCTCCTCCAAACACAGCGAGTTGAGTTGATGCCAAAGAGCTCCATTTTGGTCTCATATGACCACAACACTTTCACCCAGTTCTCCTCTGAATCATTCAGATGTTCATTGGCAAACTTCAGACGGGCATGTATATGTGCTTTCTTGAGCAGGGGGACCTTGCAGGCGCTGCAGGATTTCAGTCCTTCACGGCGTAGTGTGTTACCAATTGTTTTCTTGGTGACTATGGTCCCAGCTGCCTTGAGATCATTGACAAGATCCTCCCGTGTAGTTCTGGGCTGATTCCTCACCGTTCTCATGATCATTGCAACTCCACGAGGTGAGATCTTGCATGGAGCCCCAGGCCGAGGGAGATTGACAGGTCTTTTGTGTTTCTTCCATTTGCGAATAATCACACCAACTGTTGTCACCTTCTCACCAAGCTGCTTGGCGATGGTCTTGTAGCCCATTCCAGCCTTGTGTAGGTCTACAATCTTGTCCCTGACATCCTTGGAGAGCTCTTTGGTCTTGGCCATGGTGGAGAGTTTGAAATCTGATTGATTGATTGCTTCTGTGGACAAGTGTCTTTTATACAGGTAACAAGCTGAGATTAGGAGCACTCCCTTTAAGAGTGTGCTCCTAATCTCAGCTCGTTACCTATATAAAAGACACCTGGGAGCCAGAAATCCTTCTGATTGAGAGGGGGTCAAATACTTATTTCCCTCATTAAAATGCAAATCAATTTATAACATTTTTGACATGCGTTTTTCTGGAATCATCAAAGAACCCTTTCTTCAAAAATAGGTTCTAGGTTGAAACCCTAGCCTCACAAAGAATCCTCCGTTTCCAAAAAGTGTTCTTAAAATGAAAACAGTTATTGGTAGAACCCTATCCCTCCGCAAATAACTATGTTAGAACCCTTTTTTCTAAGTGTGTAGTGCACTGCTTTTGACCAGGGTCCATGAATTACAAATGCATCTGTTCTCAATGCCAAGGTCCAGTGAACTAGGCCTACTTATTCATGTTATAGAGTAGACTCCACTCCACCAATATAGTTGAATTATCAACACTGCTTAGGTTATACAACTGCATTACTTGCCATAGAATGTAACTGTGACTGCTGTGCTAACCAAGCTGTATTCACTCTCTCGATCTCTCGCTCTATATATCTCTCTCCCCTCTCAGCAAGTGAATAAGTTGTTGCTGGGGGATTGTTCGTACAGGGAGCAGAGCTGTCTCTATCCGTGGGCCTCTCTGTTCATCTGGGCTGTGCTGCAGAACCGCAGCGAGATGGCTGTCTACTTCTGGGAGATGGTAATTTTTTTATTTAATTTTTTTATTTAAACTTAATATGAGCAGGTGAGTCAGTTAATAATGTATGGGAACAGGCAGCTGTAATGACAATGAGAACAATGACTCTCTAATGGGTGCTTCATTCTATAGCTAGAAGACTCCTGATATCTTAAAGTATAATTTGTGTCTATCTGTTGTCTAGTGCTGTCTTTTTGCTAGCTAGGGCTATCTACTTTAAGTGCTGCATGTCTTCCCAATAGCCTACTTGGTGTGTGAACTGCTGACTGCTATTAACATTTTCAAAGACTCCAGCCACCCTAATCATAGACTGTTCTCTCTGCAACCGCACAGCAAGCGGTACCGGAGTGCTAAGTCTAGGTCCAAAAGTCTTCTTAACAGCTTCTACCCCCAAGCCATAAGACTCCTGAACGCTGCTGCTACTCTCTGTTTATTATCTATGCATAGTCACTTTAATAACTCTACATGTATTACCTCGACTAACCGGTGCCCCCGCACATCGACTCAGTACCGGTACCCTCTGTATATAGCCTCGTTATTGTTATTTTTACTGCTGCTCTTTATGTCTCCTGAGTGGCGCAGTGGTCTAAGGCACTGCATCGCAGTGCTAGCTGTGCCACTAGCGATCCTGGTTCGAATCCAGGCTCTGTCGTAGCCGGCCGTGACCGGGAGACCCATGGGGCGGCGCGCAATTGGCCCAGCGTCGTCCAGGGTAGGGGAGGGAATGGCCGGCAGGGATGTAGCTCAGTTGATAGAGCATGGCGTTTGCAACGCCAGGGTTGTGGGTTCGATTCCCACAGGGGGTATGAAAAAAATAATAATAATGTAAGTCGCTCTGGATAAGAGCGTCTGCTAAATGACGTAAATGTAATTATTTGTTACTTTTATTTCTTATTATTTTATATTGTATTTTTTTTGGTGTAATTTTGGGGGTATTCTTTCTTAAAACTGCATTGTTGGTTAAGGGCTTGTAAGTAAGCATTTCACTGGCATTCGGCACATGTGACAAATAACATTTGATTTGATGATTGTTCAAATCAAATTTAATTGGTCACATACACATATTTAGCAGATGTTATTGCGGGTGTAGCGAAATGCTTGTGTTCCTAGCTCCAACAGTGCAGTAGTATCTAACAATTCACAACAATACACACAAATCTAAAAGTAAAAGAATATAAATATTAGGACGAGCAATGTCGGAGTGGCAATGACTAAAATACAGTAGAATAGAATACAGTATATACAGTACCACTCAAAAGTAATGTCATTTCTCTTTGCTTATTTGAGCTGTTCTTCCCATAATATGGACTTGGTTTTTTTCCAAATAGGGCTATCTTCTGTAGTAGTCAGTGGCTGTATTGGTTTCTCCTCTCCTAGGCAATCAGCAATTATTACCGGGAGATGTGCTCTTCACCTTTGCAATGCAATTAGAAAATATTATTAGTACTTCAGTCTCCCTTGTTCTTCTCAGCGGCGCCCGCGTTAGCGGCTGTCTCGTCGCAAAACTAAGACCATCGCCGAAACAAAGACGGTTCTGCAGAGTTGTTCTGTGGAATTATTTGAGGAAGGAAAGAGAGGAAGGCTCCACACCACTCTCTCACTTGAATATCTTACCTAGTTATTTTCAGATGATCTCATTTTGCTCTTTTGTAGCTTTGCCAACTATGTGTGTGTGTTTTCTATTCCAGTTCACTCCTCTCCCTGTAGGCTTTACAGACACTCCCCACCCCTTGGCTGCAACCCTTCTAATTTAGTGCTCACAACCCATGTGGAATTCCTTGTCTCTGGCAGTGTTTGGAACTGCCGATGGCGGTCAAGAACGCAGAGTTAATCTCAGCCTATGCTGCCCTTCAGTCCCTTGACTTTTTGGCCCTGACATGGATCACCCCAAGAACACTGCTACTCTCTCTTCATCTTACTACGTTTTGTCTCATAGTCCGAGAGCATCTGGTCGTCGTGGTGGTGGCACAGGGCTGCTCATTTCTCCTAAATGGAGATTTTCTATTTTCTCCCTCTCTCACCTGTCCATCTCCTCATTTGAATTCCATACTGTCACTTGTCCACTCAAGCTTAACATTGTTGTCATCTATTGACACCTTGATAAGCTCATTTCCTGACGATGGCTCTTCGAACTTCAACCTCCCGACGTCTGCCTTCGATTCATTCATTTCCAGCTGTCTCTTTCCCCTGCTTGCCTCTTTTAACCTCACCCTTTTCCAGTCCCCCCCACTCACAAGGCAGGCAATATGCTTGACCTCATCTTTACTAGAGACTGTTCACCTACTAATCTCACTGCAACCCCCTCCAGGTATCTGATCACTACTTTGTTTCCTTTTCTTTCTCCCTTTCCTCCAACCCTAGCCACTCAGCCCCTACCCAGATGGCCATGTGCCATCGCAATCTTCGCACTCTATCTCCCAATACTCTCTCCTCCTTTATCCTGTCATCTCTCCCTTCTGCTAAATCTCTTTTCCCTCCTGTCTCCTGATTCTGCCTCTTCAACCCTACTCTCCACCCTTTATGCATCCTATGACTCGCACTGTCCTCTTTCCTCCCGGCCAGCTTGGTCCTCCCCTCCTGCTCCGTGGCTAAGTGCCTCATTAAGAGCTTACAGAACAGGGCTGCGGGCAGCTGAGCAAAAATGGATCCAAACTAAACTTCTGGAGGACCTATCATCCTTTCACTCCTCCTTATCTACCTTCTCTTCCTCGGTATCCACTGCTAAAGCCACTTTCTATCACTCTAAATGTCAAGCTTCTGCCTCTAACCCTAGGAAACTATTCTCCACCTTTTCCTCCCTCCTTAATCCTCCACCCCCTCCCTCCTCCCTCTCTGCAGACGACTTTGTCAACCACTTTTAAAAGAAGGTTGAAGGCATCCACTCTTCATTCAATCAGCCTATTGAATCCACTGGTCCCACTCACACAGAACTACCCTATGCCTTGAGCTCTTTCTCCCCTCTCTCTCCAGATGAAATACTGCGACTAGTGGTGTCAGGCCGCCCGACAACCTGCCCGCTAGATCCCCATCCCTTCCTCCCTTCTCCAGACCATCTCTGGAGACCTTCTCCCATTCCTCACTTCCCTCATCAACTCATCCTTGAACGCTGGCTGTGTCCACTCTGACTTCCAAATGGCCCAAGTCGCTACCCTCCTCAAGAAACCAACACCTCAACTCCTCTGGCGTCAAAAACTATAGACCGGTATCCGTTCTTTCTTTTCTTTCCAAAACACTTGAGCGTACTGTCTCTGAGCTATCTCTCTCAGAACGATCCTAACCAGTCAGGCTTCAAGACGGGTCACTCAACCGAGACTGCTCATCTCTGTGTCACGGAGGCTCTCTGCACTGCCAAAGCTGACTCTCTCTACTCTGTTCTCATCCTCCTAGATCTAGCCACTGCCTTCGACACTGTGAACCATCAGATCCTCCTCTCCACCCTCTCAGGGCTGGGTGTCTCTGCACACTCTTGGATTGCATCCTACCTGGCATGTGATGTGGAGAGGATCTGTGTCTACACCACGTACTCTCACTACTGGTGTCCCCCAGGTCTCAGTCCTTGGCCCGCTCCTCTTCTCTCTATACACCAAGTTACTCGGTTCTGTCATATCCTCACATGGTCTCTCCTATCATTGCTATGCGGCTGTCACTCATCTACTTTTCTCCTTCCCCCCTTCTGACACCCAGATGGCGACACGAATCTCTGAGTGCCTGGCAGATATCTCAGCTTGGATGTTGGCCCACCACCTCAAGCTCAACCTCGACAAGACAGAGTTGCTTTTCCTCCCAGGGAAGGCCTGCCTGCTCCAAGACCTCTCCATCACAGTTGACAACTCCACGGTGTCCCCCTCCCAGAGTGCAAAGAACCTTGGCGTGACACTGGACAACACCCTGTCGTTCTCTACAAACATAAAAGCAGTGACTCGCTCCTGCAGGTTAATGCTCTACAACATCCGTAGAGTACGAACCTACCTCACACAGGAAGCGGCACAGGTCCTAATCCAGGTGCTTGTCATCTCCCATCTGGATTACTGCAACTCGCTGTTGGCTGGGCTCCCAGCTTGTGCCATCAGACCCCTGCAACTTATCCAGAATGCTGCAGCCCGCCTGGTGTTCAACCTTCCCAAGTTCTCCCATGTCACCCCACTCCTCCACACACTCCACTGGCTTCCAGTTGAAGCCCACATCCACTACAAACCATGGTGCTTGCCTATGGAGCAGCAAAAGGAACTGCCCTTCCCTACCTTCAGGCTATGCTCAAACCCAACACCCCAACCCGAGCACTCCGTTCTGCCACCTCTGGTCACTTGACCCTCCCATCCCTATGGGAGGGCAGCTCCCGCTCAGCCCAGTCCAAGCTCTTCTCTGTCCTGGCACCCCAATGGTGAAACCCTGTCCATCTTCCGAAAACATATGAAACCCTACCTCTTCAAAGTGTATCTTAAATACACTTTGTCCCACCTATCTATCTTAAGATAAATGCACTAACTGTAAGTCGCTCTGGATCAGAGTGTCTGCTAAATGACTAAAATGTAAATGTACAGTGAGGGACAAAAGTATTTGATCCCCTGCTGATTTTGTACGTTTGCCCACTGACAAAAGAGTATCAGTCTATAATTTTAATGGTAGGTTTACTTTATAAATTGATTTGCATTTTAATGAGGGAAATACGTATTTTTTCCCTCACTGTAAATGCTTGAAGTTAAACTAATCTGTAGAAAAATTCATTAATTAACGAATGGACAGATGCATTTTAGCATTGATCTCTTCCCCTTTTATATCCCCTTCTGTCTTTCTCTCTCTCTCTCTCTCCTCTCCTTCTCTCCTCCAGGCAGGGGAGTCTGTCCACAGTGCTCTGACAGGCTGTAAGATTCTGAGAGAGCTGTCTAAACTGGAGAGTGAGACAGAGACCAAGCTCTCTATGAATGTGCTAGCCCAGAAGTTTGAGAACTTGGCCCATGGTGGGTTAGCCTTATTCTGGCTGTGTGTTTGTACTGTGAGGATGTCAATGTAGTGGTTATCAACTCTGTTATGCATACATGTGTGCAGCTTATATTTTGAGAGTGAAGTTAACCATAATACCTGGTAGCGGGTCCGCATCAGACCGTAAGGGACCACCTGTTCTGAAAGTCTGCTGGACGTCATCCCAGTCTGGGACCATTTGCAATGCTTTCACACTCAATGCCTTTAAGATTAGGACTGAAGCAAACCAATCCACACTCCTAATGGGAAACCTTATGTGAAAACCTGTGACCTGTTTCCTCTCTCTCTAGACGTGTTCAGTGAGTGCTACCAGAGCAGTGAGAGCCGCTCTTTCACCCTCCTTATAAGGAAGTCTCCGGTGTGGGGCGGAGCTACCTGTCTGCAGATGGCCACCTCAGCCGACGCACGCCACTTCTTCAGCCACGATGGCGTGCAGGTCTGTACTAAACTCAGGGGTCAGAGGTCAAGGTGTGTGTGTTTGTGTGTGCGTGTGTGCTTTGTGTGCGTGCAAACGTGTGTGTGAATCTTGAATCAAATTAAATGTGTCACATGCTTCGTAAACAACAGGTGTAGACTAACAGTGAAATGCTTACGGGTCCTTTTCCAACAATGCAGAGTTAAAGATACAACATTTAATAATCTGTGTGTGCGTGTGATCTGTGTTCACATTAATCTTTATAAAACTAACCAGCCCCTTAGATTTCCAGAGTGTGTGTGTTAGAACATGGAGGGTGGTTAATTGAAGTTTCTCAGGATCAACTCTGCTCCTACCTCTTCCTCTGGCAGTCTCTGCTGTCTCAGATCTGGTGGGGAGACATGAAGAGGAGCACGAAGGTCTGGAAACTGGTCCTCACCTTCTTCTTACCCCCCCTCATCTACACCAACCTTATCAGCTTCAGGTTAGTGTCTGTCTGTCTGTCTGAGAATTTCCAATCCATTAAAGGTGCAATATGCAGAAATCGCTCCTCCATTTCCTGGTTGAAAAAATTATAATACTTAGCCTAATTTCAGTTTATGTGACAAAACAAGCAATTTATAGTGTAGAGAATCATTGTACCATCTAAACTGCTGTGAAATATATTTTAATTATCCAAAAATATTGTATTTTCAGCTGTTTGAAACTGGTGTACAAAACCAAAAGTAAAATAAGAAAAAACAAAACTTAAGAACGGGAAGCATAGAAATAGTGCACATAAAATCAGATCTACCGCTTCTTAGACTTGCTTTCAATGAGAATGACAGATCTATAATTCACATTTCTATGTGAATTTGGGCAGGTCGCCCAAAAAGTTACATATTATGCATAATAAGCATTAAAATACAGAGAAGATTGGCTGCCCACATGAAAAAATTATACAGTTTACTATAGAATTCTATATACAGTACTACACACTGTAGTATCCCTTGATCATGTGTAGTACTTACTATAGAATGTTGTAGTATAATGTAGACTACTATAGTAAATACTACAGTAATGTCCGCAACAACAAAAGCACAGTCTGCAAAAAAAATGATATTAAACAAAAACACTACAGTAATTACTATAGTATATACAAAAAACATTTTACCACAGTATTTATACTATAGTAAACTGTAAATACTATAGTATACTACAGTCATATCTGCAAAAGCACTAGAGTAAATCGAGTCAGAGTCAAGGCAGAGACCGGAAAAATGCGAGTCTAATTCAAGACCATGATTGTAATTGTGTCAAATGTCACCATAATAACAGTTCAAAACATCCAGTATTTATGTGTTCATACACAATATATACAAAGTTGTGTGGACACCCCTTCAAATTAGTGGATTCGGCTCGTTCAGCCACACCCGTTCCTGAGAGGTGTATAAAATAAAGCACCGCCATGCAATCTCCATAGACAAACTTTGGCAGTAGAACCCGTTCCTGACGGGCTCAGTGACTTTCAACGTGGCACCGTCATAGAATGCCACCTTTCCAACAAGTCAGTGCATTACATTTCTGCCCTGCTACAGCTGCCCTAGTCAACTGTAAGAGCTGTTATTGTGAAGTGCAAACGTCTAGGAGCAACAAAGGCTCAGCTGCGAAGTGGTAGGCCACACAAGCTCACAGAATGGGACCGCTGAGTGCTGAAGCAGAGGAGGAATAATGGTCTGGGGCTGTTTTTCATGATTTGGGCTAGGCCCCTTAGTTCCAGTGAAGGGAAATCTTAATGCTACAGCATACAATGACATTCTAGACGATTCTGTGCTTCCAACTTTGTGGCAACAGTTTGGGGAAGGGCCTTTCCTGTTTCAGCATGACAATGGCCCGTGCACAAAGTGAGGTCCATACAGAAATGGTTTGTCAAGATCGGTGTGGAAGAACTTGACTGGCTTGCACAGAGCCATGACCTTAACCTCATCGAATACCTTTGGGATGAATTGGAACGCCGACTGCGAGCCAGGCCTAATCGCCCAACATCAGTGCCCGACCTCACTAATGCTCTTGTGGCTGAATGGAAGCAAGTCCCCACAGCAATGTTCCAACATCTAGCCTTCTCAGAAGAGTGGAGGCTGTTATAGCAGCAAAGGGGGGACCAACTCCCTATTAATGCCCATGATTTTGGAATGAGATGTTCGACGAGCAGGTGTCCACATACATTTGGATAAAAGCAGAGACTCAGAGCTACAAAATGGTATATCATACACTGCAGTTGAGGAACAATGGGATAGTAATTCTGCTTTGAAAGTTGATAAACTTGTAACCCCACTTTTGAGAAAATTGCCCTTGAATGTTTGGTACACCTACTGGAGAGCTCTTTGTCTACACCTATTCAGCATCTTTCACACCTTAAGTCTTAGCCCCACCCTTCTTTTTAAGGATTCACATGTGAGGCCATATGCTAAACAGAGTGAGTAAGGTAGTGTAGTAAGCAACCAAAGATTTCAAGACTAAAAGTGGTGAAAGTACACTACAATAAGGAAAAACAACAGGTAAAAATACCTATATCCTAATCTGACTTTGGTGCATGTCATGTTGTTCTTCACATTACTGTCTCTGGTAAACACACACTATATCAAATAAAATCAAAGTTTGTCACATGCACAGGATACAGAAGGTGTAAATGGTAAAGTGAAATGGTTACTTGCATATATGCATAGTAGCAATATCAAAAATAGAAAGTGTCCAGATAAAAATATTTTATAATTATTAGTTGATGCTTACCCAGACACACTTGTCTAAATGATAAATGATAACCACATCTAGCTAAGTGGATGGGTCACTATTGTCTAGACATGTACACATGTTCATGAAATACAATAGATGGCCGTAGTCACCCCCAGACACACCTGGCTAACTTGATTGGTCATGTAATCATCTGGCGAAGTGGAGTCTTTTGTTTAGACATGTAGCTAGCTAGCTAGCTAAACAATGAACCATCATCCCAACCCATACTACTAGCAATACAAACAGATTGTCATAGCTAGCCACCATGCATGAAATGCTGTAGTATGAATCGGCAGGGACAGTGAAGGAATAAAGTATTTGATCCCCTGCTGATTTTGTACGTTAACCCACTGACAAAGAAATTATCAGTCTATAATTTTAATGGTAGGTTTATTTAAACAGTGAGAGACAGAATAACAACAACACAATCCAGAAAAACGCATGTCAAAAATGTTATAAATTGATTTGCATTTTAATGAGGGAAATAAGTATTTGACCCCCTCTCAATCAGAAAGATTTCTGGCTCCCAGGTGTCTTTTATACAGGTAGCGAGCTGAGATTAGGAGCACACTCTTAAAGGGAGTGCTCCTAATCTCAGCTTGTTACCTGTATAAAAGACACCTGTCCACAGAAGCAATCAATCAATCAGATTTCAAACTCTCCACCATGGCCAAGACCAAAGAGCTCAGGGACAAGATTGTAGACCTACACAAGGCTGGAATGGGCTACAAGACCATCGCCAAGCAGCTTGGTGAGAAGGTGACAACAGTTGGTGTGATTATTCGCAAATGGAAGAAACACAAAAGACCTGTCAATCTCCCTCGGCCTGGGGCTCCATGCAAGATCTCACCTTGTGGAGTTGCAATGATCATGAGAACGGTGAGGAATCAGCCCAGAATTACACGGGAGGATCTTGTCAATGATCTCAAGGCAGCTGGGACCATAGTCACCAAGAAAACAATTGGTAACACACTATGCCGTGAAGGACTGAAATCCTGTAGCGCCTGCAAGGTCCCCCTGCTCAAGAAAGCACACATACATGCCCGTCTGAAGTTTGCCAATGAAAATCTGAATGATTCAGAGGAGAACTGGGTGAAAGTGTTGTGGTCATATGAGACCAAAATGGAGCTCTTTGGCATCAACTCAACTCGCCGTGTTTGGAGGAGGAGGAATGCTGCCTATGACCCCAAGAACACCATCCCCACCGTCAAACATGGAGGTGGAAACATTATGCTTTGGGGGTGTTTTTCTGCTAAGGGGACAGGACAACTTCACGGCATCAAAGGGACGATGGACGGGGCCATGTACCGTCAAATCTTGGGTGAGAACCTCCTTCCCTCAGCCAGGGCATTGAAAATGGGTCGTGGATGGGTATTCCAGCATGACAATGACCCAAAACACACGGCCAAGGCAACAAAGCAGTGGCTCAAGAAGAAGCACATTAAGGTCCTGGAGTGGCCTAGCCAGTCTCCAGACCTTAATCCCATAGAAAATCTGTGGAGGGAGCTGAAGGTTCGAGTTGCCAAACGCCAGCCTCGAAACCTTAACGACTTGGAGAAGATCTGCAAAGAGGAGTGGAACAAAATCCCTCCTGAGATGTGTGCAAACCTGGTGGCCAACTACAAGAAACGTCTGACCTCTGTGATTGCCAACAAGGGTTTTGCCACCAAGTACTAAGTCATGTTTTGCAGAGCGGTCAAATATTAATTTCCCTCATTAAAAAGCAAATCAATTTATAACATTTTTGACATGCGTTTTTCTGGATTTTGTTGTTGTTATTCTGTCTCTCACTGTTCAAATAAACCTACCATTAAAATTATAGACGGATCATGTCTTTGTCAGTGGGCAAACGTACAAAATCAGCAGGGGATCAAATACTTTTTTCCCTCACTGTAGCTAAAGCTAACCAACTAGGTTCAATGTTAGGCTATAACTAGCAATGGAAATGTATTTTCTGAGATGCTAATAATATTACTACACAGATCATGCACGTACCATTAGCTAGCGAGACAGCAAGCTAACGTTTTCTAACTAGCTAACAGTATGCTTTAACTTGCAATGAAAATGACTTTGACAAAATTAGAAACGTATAATATCTTAAAATGTAGCTAGACTCTTACCCGTACACTGTACATGGATGAATGCTTCACTGCAAGTCGGAACCCCTGGTGTAATTTCCATTTTGTTTGGACAGCTTGTTTGGGCCGTGTTGTGTCAAGTCACTCCGGTTTACACTGACCGTGTGCAGAATGTAATCCATCACAACTTTTTCCCACTGATCTATGTCGATAGCGCCTACTAAATTCAGGGCAGCAATGTTGTTGAGAGCAGTAGCAACACTCTTGCAGTTCTCTATGGCTAACGTTATACAGTGGGGAGAACAAGTATTTGATACACTGCCGATTTTGCAGGTTTTCCTACTTACAAAGCATGTAGAGGTCTGTAATTTGTATCATAGGTACACTTCAATTGTGAGAGACGGAATCTAAAACAAAAATCCAGAAAATCACATTGTATGATTTTTAAGTAATTAATTTGCATTTTATTGCATGACATAAGTATTTGAAACATCAGAAAAGCAGAACTTAATATTTGGTACAGAAACCTTTGTTTGCAATTACAGAGATCATACGTTTCCTGTAGGTCTTGACCAGGCCTGCACACACTGCAGCAGGGATTTTGGCCCACTCCTCCATACAGACCTTCTCCAGATCCTTCAGGTTTCGGGGCTGTCGCTGGGCAATACGGACTTTCAGCTCCCTCCAAAGATTTTCTATTGGGTTCAGGTCTGTAGACTGGCTAGGCCACTCCAGGACCTTGAGATGCTTCTTACGGAGCCACTCCTTAGTTGCCCTGACTGTGTGTTTCGGGTCGTTGTCATGCTGGAAGACCCAGCCACGACCCATCTTCAATGCTCTTACTGAGGGAAGGAGGTTGTTGGCCAAGATCTCGCGATACATGGCCCCATCCATCCTCCCCTCAATATGGTGCAATCGTCCTGTCCCCTTTGCAGAAAAGCATCCCCAAAGAATGATGTTTCCACCTCCATGCTTCTTGGTTGGGATGGTGTTCTTGGGGTTGTACTCATCCTTCTTCTTCCTCCAAACACGGCGAGTGGAGTTTAGACCAAAAAGCTCTATTTTTGTCTCATCAGACCACATGACCTTCTCCCATTCCTCCTCTGGATCATCCAGATGGTCATTGGCAAACTTCAGATGGGCCTGGACATGCGCTTGCTTGAGCAGGGGGACCTAGCGTGCGCTGCAGGATTTTAATCCATGACGACGTAGTGTGTTACTAATGGTTTTCTTTGAGACTGTGGTCCCAGCTCTCTTCAGGTCATTGACCAGGTCCTGCCGTGTAGTTCTGGGCTGATCCCTCACCTTCCTCATGATCATTGATGCCCCATGAGGTGAGATCTTGCATGGAGCCCCAGACCGAGGGTGATTGACCGTCATCTTGAACTTCTTCCATTTTCTAATAATTGCGCCAACAGTTGTTGCCTTCTCACCAAGCTGCTTGCCTATTGTCCTGTAGCCCATCCCAGCCTTGTGCAGGTCTACAATTTTATCCCTGATGTCCTTACACAGCTCTCTGGTCTTGGCCATTGTGGAGAGGTTGGAGTCTGTTTGATTGAGTGTGTGGACAGGTGTCTTTTATACAGGTAACGAGTTCAAACAGGTGCAGTTAATACAGGTAATGAGTGGAGAACAGGAGGGCTTCTTAAAGAAAAACTAACAGGTCTGTGAGAGCTGGAATTCTTACTGGTTGGTAGGTGATCAAATACTTATGTCATGCAATAAAATGCAAATGAATTACTTAAAAATCATACAATGTGATTTTCTGGATTTTTGTTTTAGATTCCGTTTCTCACAGTTGAAGTGTACCTATAATAAAAATTACAGACCACTACATGCTTTGTAAGTAGGAAAACCTGCAAAATTGGCAGTGTATCAAATACTTGTTCTCCCCACTGTATCTTTTAAAAAGCAGTTGTAGCTGGGATTATCTACACATACTGAGCAGCTCATGTTATAGTCTGAAGCATGCTACATGTCAGACCAAACCGAACTCATCTCTCGGCATGTCCAGCCCAGCCATTATCTCAGCCAATCATGGATAGCCGGAAAGTTCTTGTCTTTTTCTGTGGCTAAACCAATTAGGCTCGTTATTTTAACAATTTTATTCGTATTTACAGATGGCATAGAAGTTTGTTATTAAGGCACATGAAAGGCACATGTTCCAGAAGGAATTTTGATCAACAACAACAACAAAAATAAGTTCAAATGCCTCTCCTGTGAAGTAGTGATGTGCGACATATGCCTAGCGTCCTGAAACAGGTCACATATGTATATTTGGTGTATATTTGTGTTATATTGTGCAGGGCACATTTGAAAAAGAGACCTAGGTCTCAATATGTCTTCCCTGGTAAAATTAAGGTAAAAAAAAGTAATACACTTTTCTTTCACCACCATCTTACAATATCGTTCAAATTTTCAATTCGAAATGCTGACTTATTTTCCTCTTTGCTTCCCCTTCACAGGCTATCTTCTCTCTATCACATTTTTTATATGTGGAGCGTTCCTTATTTTCCTCATACAGGGTGAATTTGAGAAATTGGAAGCTGGTGGTGAAACTGTCTGTCGGTCTTTAATTTATTTCTCAATCTCTCTCTCTCTCTCTCTCTCTCTCTCTCTCTCTCTCTCTCTCTCTCAGGGAACATGAGGAAGAGGTGAAGTCGGAGGAGGTGCCTCATGGTCGAGACACAGAGAGTCTGGACGGAGGAGATGCCACTATGTTCTCCCTCTCCGACATCATGCAAACGTAAACACACACGCACGCACATACTCATCCATGCACACACACTAAGTAATTATTCCCATTCTTGTCCTCTCAGGGAAAAGGATGTCGAGGAATATGCTGCTCTAAGGGCCAATCTGAAAAGTGCCCCCTCCTCCAATCCCAAGAGGCCCTTCGTACTGCTGCGCTGGCGGGAGTTTTGGTTTGTGCCCGTCACCTCGTTCCTAGGCAACGTGCTAATGTACTTCCTGTTCCTTGGCCTGTTTGCTTATATCCTATTGTTGGACTTCAAGCCCCCGCCCCCTCACGGCCCATCCACCTTAGAGTTTGTTCTCTACTTCTGGGTCTTCACCCTGGTCTGTGAGGAGTTTCGACAGGTAGGACGCATCACATGTAAACAAACACACGTGAACACACACTCAAAGACACACAGACAAATACAAAAAAATACAAAACAAGTACAGGCAAGAACCTATACAGTCACCTCTAAATGTATTAGTGATAAAGATGAGCAAAATAAATAATAGAAATACCAAGATATATTGGATGGTCAAAACATTTGAAAAATATCTAATTTTATACTAATACAATTTATCAGAAACATTAGATTTTGTTTAACAAGTAAAAAATAATCTAAAAAAAGATAGGTGTCAAAATTACTGGCACCACTAAAGATTCTTATGAATAAAATTAAACAAAATGTATTTACATTTACATTATATTTTAGTCATTTAGCAGACGCTCTTATCCAGAGCGACTTACAGGAGCAATTAGGGTTGCTCAAGGGCACTTCGGCAGATCTTTTGTTTCTAGCTTGTTAGTTAGCTAATGTTAAGGTCGCTGGCTAGTCAGTTCAAATAATGACCATATAGCTGATAACATCTTAACTTTAGCTAATTTGTATTCATTATTACAGAAAAATAAACTCACAACAAGAACATTATTTACAAGTTAAAGACGAGCTAATTACAGAACATAGCTTACAATTGTGAGTGTGATTAAATAAAAGCAGGGCATTCTACCGGAGAATTGTAGAACTTGGACACCGTCTTGGTGGCCTAACGTTATATCCTAATTTGACTTTGGTGCAGGTCATGTTGTTCTTCACATTACCGTCTTTCACGACTTCCTCCGAGGCTACCTCCTTTCCTTGTTCGGGCAGGCTTCGGCGTTCATCGTCACCGGCTTTCTAGCCACCGCCGCTCCTCATCTCATCATTCCATTTGTTTATTTTGTTTATTACACACACCTGGTTCATATCCCCTCATCAGTACCTGTATAAGTGTTCCCTCTGCCCCCTTGTCTTTGTGTGTGATTGTTTATTGTGGAGAAGAGAGAAGCTCGGTGGAGAACCGTGTATTTTGTATCGCCAGGAATATTTTCCTGTGTGCCTTGTATTTTCCAGTGCACCTGTTTTGCGCACTGGAGTGTTTTTACGCATTACTGCATAACTCTGTGGTTCAGAATAAATCCTGTTATTTTGGGATTTACCCTTCTGCGCCTGACTACTTCAAAATCACCTTATCACAGAATCACACACCCAAACTTGGAGTCAGCAGGAGAGGAGCACCTGCCTGGAGTCGTGCCACGGGTCCAGGAACATTCGACTATGCTAACCAGCTTGGGAGAAGCATTGGATCGGGTTCTCCAGGTCATCCAATGCCTGGAGAGGAGAGGACCCTTTCGGGACCAGCTGAGCGACCGGATCCAGCCAACCACACCCCAGCACCCAGAGGGATTCATATATCTCGACCGCAGGATTTTGACGGGACAGCTGCCCTCTGCCAGCGATTCCTCCTACAAATGGATTTATACTTCTCGACCATCAGCCCGGCTCCATCGGAGCGGGAGAAGGTGTCCGCCCTCGTCTCCTGCCTCTCAGGGAAAGCCCTGGAGTGGGCCAACGTGGTCTGGAGTGAAGGAGGAGCCGCATTGGACAACTTCAGGGAGTTTGCTCGCCTCTTTCGGGCCGTCTTCGATCACCCGCCCCTAAGGTAGAGAGGCGGGCGAGCGACTGGTCCACCTGAGGCAGTGGACGAGGACCACGCAGGACTTCGCCCTGGAGTTTTGTACTCTAGTGGCTGGGTCTGGGTGGAACAAACAGGCCCTCATCGACCACTTCCGGTGCAATCTACGAGAGGACGTCCGAAGGGAGCTAGCCTACCGGGGCACCACGTTGTCGTTCGATCAACTGGTGGACATGGCCATCCGGTTGGACAACCTGCTGGCTTCTAGAGGACATCCTGGAAGGGGCCTGCTCGTCCTACCCCCCCGCTGTTGTCGGCGTTCTTTTGGGTCTGTAGGCGGCAGGCAGATATTTTTTTTTACTGTACTGATCTGTACTTCTACACAACTTTGTCCCTGACCTGTTTGGAGAGCTCCTTGGGTTCATGGTGCCGCTAGCTTGGTGGTGCCCCTTGCTTAGTGGTGTTGCAGACTCTGGGGCCTTTCAGAACAGGTGTAAATATACTGATATCATGTGACAGATCATGTGACACTTAGATTGCACACAGGTGGACTTTATTTAACTAATTATGTGACTTCTGAAGGTAATTGGTTGCACCAGATCTTATTTAGGGGCTTCATAGCAAAGGGGGTGAAAACATATGCACGCACCACTTTTCCGTTATTTATTTTTTAGAATTTTTTTAAACAACTTATTTTTTTCACTTCCCCAATTTGGACTATTTGGTTTATGTCCATCACATGAAATCCAAATAAAAATCCATTTAAATTACAGGTTGTAATGCAACAAAATAGGAAAAACGTCAAGGGGGATGAATACTTTTGCAAGGCACTCTTTCCTGGTTAGCACTACACAACCCCACCTTTTCATGGCTGCAGAGGGTTCTCACGGGGTGGTCACGAGAGTGTCAGGGTAGGTGTCTAGATGTTTCCGTTGGTGCAACCATGGTGGAAAGTCCAGACACTACCTCCACCGTGCGCATTCCCCCCGAATACCTCGATTTGGCTCATGCGTTTTTCAAAACGCAGGCCACCAAATTACCACCTTATCGGGGCGGGGGATTGGGCGATAAACCTCCGGGTAGACGCTGTGCCTCCCAGGAGTCAAGTATATCCCCTGTCGCAGGCTGAAATGGAGGCCCCGGCACTGGCCCATCCCGATCCATCACTACCGTTCGTAGTGGAGGTGGATGCGTCTGAGGTAGGGATAGGCGTTGTCTTATCTCAACGCTCGGGCACGCCACCCAAGCTCTGCCCCTGTGCCTTCTTCTCCAAGAAGCTCAACCCGGCGGAGCAGAACTACGATGTTGGTGATCGGGAGCTGTTGGCTGTTGTCCGAGCCCTGACTGTGGCTCGAGGAGCGAAACACCTTTTCCTCGTCTGGACTGACCACTGTAACCTGGAGTACATCCGAGCAGCGAAGGAGGCTGAACCCTCGCCAGGCCAGGTGGGCCCTATTCTTCACCCGATTTGATTTGACACTATCTTACATCCCGGGTACGAAGAACGTGACGGCAGCCACACTGTCACGGCTGTACGACACAGAGGAGAGGCCCATAGACAACACCCCCATACTCCAGCCCTCCTGCATTGTGCATTGTCTCCTCCTGCTCGGTGTGCGCCCAGAGTAAGGCACCTAGGCACTTCCCAGCGTGTAAGTTACAGCCCTTACCAGTTCCACAATGGCCATGGTCCCACTTGTGTATTGACTTCCTTACTGATCTTCCCCTCTCTCAAGGTAACACCACCATCTTGGTCGTTGTGGACCGCTTTTCCAAAGCCTGCCGCCTCCTTCCTCTCCACCGGTCTCCCCACAGCCCTGCAGACTGCGGAGGCCCTGTTTACACATGTCTTTCGGCACTATGGGGTGCAAGAGGACATAGTGTCTGACTGGAGTCCCCAGTTCGCATCCAGGGTCTGGAAGGCGTTCATGGAACTTCTGGGGGTCTCGGTCAGACACTATTTCCTCTGGCACCCCGTAGTGCCAGAAGACGTGTGTAAACAGGGCCTCCGCAGTCTGCAGGGCCGTGGGGAGACCAGACAGAGGAAGGAGGCGGCAGGCTTTGGAAAAGCGGTCCACAACGACCAGCCTGACCTCTGGTTTTCACCCCGAGTCAAATGGGCAGGTGGAACGGGTGAATCAGGATGTGGGTAGGTTCCTGTGGTCCTACTGCCAAGACCGGCCAGGGGAGTGGTCAGTGTTCTTGCCATGGGCCGAATGTGCCCAGAACTCTCTCCGTCACTCCTCCACTAACCTAACGCCATTTCAATGTGTTTTAGGTTATCAGCCGTTCTGGCACCGAGGCTTCTGCGGTGGATGACAGTTTCATCTACTTCCAACTTTTGGTTTTGTGTGATGCGTTCATCCATCATAGCTCGTAGTGCATTCTTCAGGCTTTGTACGTCTGGCCACTTTGAACACGCGTCAACAATCACAACGAATGTTGTGCCCACGAAAGGTCCCGCAAAGGCTATGTGGATGCTTTGCCATGGCGATGCAGGCCATTCCTATGGGTGAAGCGTTGCTGCTTTTGGCATCTTCTTTACATGTTGACATCCAGAGCAACGCATGGCAAGCTGCTCAATCTGCTGATCTATTCCTGGCCACCATACAAAACTTCTGCGGATTGACTTCATCTTAACGACTCCGAAATGTCCTACATGGAGCTGTTCCAAGAACCTGGTTCGCAACTTGGGTGGTATGATCACTCTTAAGCCCCACATCATCCCGGTATTGATAGTACTGAGCAAACTGAAACTTCTGTTGTGTATTCTGGCCATATTGTGTTGCGGAGTACACCTGAGACAGAGTAGGGCCTTAGCCCCACCCATCTCTTTAAGGATTCACGTTAGGCCATGTGCTAAACAGAGAGTGTAGTTTAGTAAACAACCAAAGATTTCAAGACTTAAAGTGGTAAAAGTAGTTGCCTACAATAAGGAGAAACTCCAGGTAAAAATACACTTTATCTAATCCTTGGCCTATATCCTGATCTGACTTTGGTGCAGGTCGTGTTGTTCTTCACATTACCGTCTCTAGTAAACACACTATATCAAATAAAATCTAAGTTTATTTGTCACATGGACAAGATGCAGAAGGTGTGAACGGTACATTGAAATGGTTACTTGCATAGTAGCAATATCAAAAACAAAGTGACCAAATACAAATCTTTTATCATTATTAGATGACACTTACCTGTCACACTTATCTAAATTGATGGGTCATGTGAAGGAAATGCTATAACCACCCCCCAGCCACATCTAGCTATGTGGATGGGTCACTATTGTCTAGACTTGTACACATATTCATGAAATACAATAGACGTCCATAATCGCCCCCAGACACACGTGGCTAACTTGATGGGTCATGTAATCATCTGGCAAAGTGGAGTCTTTTGTTTAGACATGTAGCTAGCTATCTAGCTAAACAATGAACCAGCAT